TAAACTTTTTACACGCTTTGGAAAATCTCAGAAGTTCGCGGTAGTCACTTTTCGGTAAGGAACTAAGGGACTCGGTTATTGTATCGAGCAGGGTTCGAAACGATCGCAAAGGCGGTATACTACGTATACGCGCCAAAAAATTCCGTCGAGATTCTGGAACGTAAAGGCGCTTTAAAAGTATTCTGGGGCTATAATAGCTAAATCACCGGTAGTAAATCCCGTTATATTATTAAAAAGAAATTGACTCCATAGTTTAATTCCTTAGTTTCTTGAATACGATTATTTTAAGCGCATTATACCACCAATTTTAGCCATGGGGTGATTTCCTGAGAGCCGATAATATCACGAATTTCTCATAGAACCCTTCAACAGTGGCTTGCTTTTTTGGCAGCCGATTCGGCCATCGAACCGGAGTTTAAATGGAAGCTGATAATAACCCAAAGTTCTGAGAAAAATTTTGAGATGAGTATAAGAACGGTTTGTCGTAAGTAACGAGGAGAGGCGGGCAAAGCGGCTAAAATCCGATCTAATTTTTACAGTTTTTCTGTTGAATTAATGTTGCCGCGCGCGGGCTTCTGACTGTGTCCACACATAGTTTCTGTTCAGCATATCGATACATGAGTATTTACACACGTAGAATCTAATTTTCACGTCAGGGAGTCGACGTATTTCGATTTTTTCGATTTTATACGGAAAATTGATGGTTTTTCGGGATTGAAATTATTATTGTTTCATGAAAAATAAATGCACCCAAAATGACTATAGCATATTGATTTTTACACATTTGCACTCACGAAATTGGTTGGTAAATTCAACGAGTGGGTGCATCGACCTGGTATATCAAGTTTCTGCACTTTTTTACGGCAAATCAGTAGATTTTCGGGATGTAGATTGCTTACTTTCAATTCATGAATGAATAAAGCAACGACATGGTTCAACTTCTTTGCATGGAAAGACGTTTAAAATAACAAAATCAAGACGTATTTAATGCAATTGCATTTATATCGAGTCAATTTCTTTTCAATAATATAACGGGATTTATACTACCGGTGATTTGGGTATTTTAGCCCCAAAATACCTTTAAATCGACTTTATCTTTTAGGAGTTCGACAGAATTTTTCCTTTCTTCGCTTAAATTATTCCGTAGCAGTTTTCTTCAAGAATCTGATTAGATTTTGCTTGAGGCGGATCAAAAAACTTAAATTCGATCGAATAGGTTTCTACTTTCACAATACACGGTCTCGTCAAGGTGCGTGGTTGACCTCTCAGTGTTGGATCGTATGAATTCTCTTGTTGTGCTAGTTGCCTATTTTGAAATCTCTGTAAATGAAAACTAAAGGT